GGGGCAGAGCAGACGCGGTTCCCTGATATTCAGGGGCGTTGCTCGTCGCTCCTGTCCCCGACCAGCCGTCCTCCTTCCGCCGTGGCAGGTGGGGGACAGGTCTCCCCCGAAACTCCCACCCGAGGTGCTCTGTGCTGCCCAGCCTCCTGGGCCCGCCCTTCCCTCCGCTGCGGGAGGGTGTGTCTCTGACCCGCCCCGCGGCGTGGGGCTGGGGAGGGTGAAGGTTGTGGAGAGAGGAGGGGGCACTTTTTGGCATTCCTATCCCTTCCCATCCCGCCCCTCTGGTCTCCCGGGCGTGCATGGGGGTTGGTGTGGGAGCGAGTGGGCTCTGGCCTGGCGGACATGCAGTGGAGGGTGAGTGGTGCTGGCCCATAGAAGTGGTAACAGGATGGCCTGGCCGGTCCTCTGTCATCTGCATTTATACCCCGTGTACCCCCCTCCTCAGGACTGCAGAAGGGCCCTGGGGTTTATTTTATCTCTGTCTAGAGAACAGCCCTGGCACTGAGTTCAAATCCAGCCCTCCTCCAGTGAGATGAAAACGCCCACCATCCTGGCTGCCCGCTTTGGCTGCCCATCTGTCAGTCTACAGGGGGATCCAGGTGTTCCCATAGCTGCCCCCCTTTCCTTCCCTGTGCTGGGCTGGCCAGACATGTCAGGGGTCACGGTGGAAGAAGGAAAGGCCAGGGACCGTGTCCTGACTCACCAGCAAGACGACTGTGAGTGACCTAGCAGTTTCCAGAACCCACGCCAGGGGAGCCCACCCACGCCCCTTCTCTCCCCAGTCTGCCCCACTTCCTGGTTTGAATTCCTGCCTGGGGAGATGTGGGTGAGAGGGTAGGAGTACTATAGGCTATTTTTTCAAAGAAAAACAAAACCCCAACAACAATAAACATCTCTTGGGGGAAAAAAGGTAATAAAGCTGTAGAAAGTCCCCTGCCCAAATAGAAGTCCCCATGGGGAGGAGAGGGCACCTGCACTCCACCAGATTCCTGGCACCGACCATTCCTCTGTCTCCGAGCACTTTGACTCTGTCTTTAAACATCCCGTGGGGAGACCCGGCTTGCGGATGGGCTCCGACAGGCTTAGGGAGGGGACTGACTCTCAGACACCCTGTACCAGCCCCAGCCCATGGCTGCCTAGAGGCCACCTTCCGGGGGGATGGGGGGAGATGTGCTCTTCACACAGGTTTTGCTTAAGCGTCTTTTTTCCCCTCTTGGATCAATCCTATTCCTCCGCTTGCAGTGCCTTGAGCTCGGGTTGGCCGGCCCTGTGTGGGCGACTTGCAGGGAGGGGGTATTCTGAGCCCCAGTCACTGTCAAGTGTTGCAGATTTGAGGGGACAGAGGGGTCAGGGCGCCTGATATAAGGCAGGGCCGACTGGGTTAGGTGGTTCAGAGGGCACTGCAGGCGGCCGTGGCCCATGCTGACACCCACACATGCACGCACCCAGTCCCCATGGCTCTCAGCCGCCGCCTGCTAACCAAAGAGAACCAGCACTCCAAAGAAAACCCGTGTGGACCTCCCCCTCCCCAGAGCAGGGCCTGGAGTGCACCCCAACTCGCTCAGCCCTGACGACACAGGTGGGGCCTCCTGTGTGATGCCCAGAATGCGCGTAGGCCTTTCTCATGGTCGCCATTCATTATCAAGTTTGCTTTCATGAGTTACGCGCTCATTGGCCACGGGCCATCTGCACCCTTTGGATGGGTCTGTGGAGTGACATTCCTGGCCTCGCAGCTACCTCTGTCCTCCAGGAGGGGCCCAAGCCCTAGCGACCTGCCCTTTTGGAAACATCCAGGCTCCTACCCATACCCACCCCTGGAAGCTGACACCGCCCTGCGCAGTCCTTGTGTGTGAGCTCAGTGAGAAGGCCTGTTAAGGATGCAGGTTCCTCCGCAAATTCGTGCATCTTGATTATTTACAGAATCCAAAAGCCGGGGGTGATCTGTTAAACAGGAATATTCCAACAGTCGTTTTTGTTTGGGGTTTGGTCACATTCTCCTGTTTCCCCTTTTTGGTTGCAGTGTTGGGCCCCTTCTGTTGACATGATGGAGAGGAGGGGGCCAAGGTCACTGGGTCACTCAGCTGGCCTTGAGGGAGCATTTGTCTTCTGAGGCCTGAGACAGCCGCTTCACTGTTCGCTGTCCCTTAACCTTCGCTGGGGCCTCCTGGGTACCAAGCAAGTGAGGCATTTTCCTGCTCAGCAACCACTTACAAGGGGAAGCCTGCAGGCTGAGGTGTGGGTACTGGGGACAAGGCCTGAGGACAGCTGACCCCTCTGGCGGGGCCTGTGGGAAGGGCATGTGGGTCCAGCACTTCTGACAAATTCTGGATCTGGAAGCGGTTCTTGTGCTGCTGGGTGAGCCACTGTTTCTTCGCGGAGGGCCTCACCTGCGTCCTAAATCCTGGACCCCTCAGCCCACCCACAGAGTTTGCATTAAGCAGAAACCTTAAGTCAGAAAGGAAGTGGCCAGGGGGTAGAGCAGTGCTGTTGTTTTGCTTGGGATGGAATGGTTGGTTTGACCACCGTCCCCAGGCCTCCAGGCGCTGTCTTCTCACCCAGCATCACTGAGGCAGCCTTCCTGCTTTCCAGGGTGGAGCACACTGCCCTGGGGCCTCTGCCCCCAGGCCCTCTCCTTAACCAGTTGGCACTCAGTTCCAGCCTCAAGTCCTGGGCTCCTTAAAATGGAATCGGGTGGTCTGTCACTATGGGGTTTGCAGAAAATGCTGTTAAAACCAAGACCCCAGCTGGACTGAACTGGCTTAGTCACTGCCTCTCTGCTGTGTGGACACTGCCCCTCTGCTACACTGCCAAGGCCAGCCTAGAGTCCTGGCTTCTCTGCCACCTCAGTGCCCTGTGTGCCGGCCAGGGGACTGCCCTGCCTCTGCAGCCACCGCATGCTGGGGACTCACCTGGAAGGCATCGGTGAAGCCCCTGGCCACGGTGGGACCAGCGAGGAAGTGATAATGAAGTGCACAGACCCAGGGATGCCATTGGGAAGGCATTTATTTTTGTGAAGAGGCTATAACATTAGCATTTAAATATCCCATTCCCTTCTCTCTGCCTCTCCCTCCCCAGCTCCCCCTCCCTCTTTCTCTCGCCTCCTGGAGGCCAGCTTCCTGAAAGGCCTCACCTTGATCAGCTTGTCCTGACCTTTCACCTCTGGCCTCGAGGAGAGGGCAGAAAGACGTGGCTTGGGAGACGGAGGGGAGGCAGAATCCCATTGTCCTGCATCACTGTGAGGGCCAGGGCCTGCTCCCGGAGACATATTTGCTGTGCGTATTGGTGGTTCTGGTACAAGCCTGCTCTTAAAAACAACTCCGTTTGCATGTAACTCACTCATTCTTACCAGTCTCCTGCCCCCTGCTGGCTTTGTGAGGGCTCCAGCCAGTGGTCTTGTCAAGTGTGGGGGGGCCATGGGCTCCTCTGTGAGCTTCTGGAGATCTTGAGATGCTGCCCCTGTGAATACCCCCAACTCGGGAGAGAGCAGCCCAGGTGCCAGTACAGTCAAACTCCCCGCTCACTCTTGTTAGCAATAGTGACTCAGAAGATTGGGCTGCTTCCAATTTCACCAGAAAGAGACCCAGGGCCCCCTGTGGTCACATTTTCTGCCCCAACCGTTCTTGGGGTTACAACCTCCATTTCTGGCTCCAAAAGAATTTTCCCCACCCGAACCCCAATACTAAATGGATCCATGATAATTAAAAGAAGAGAGAAAAATATTTTTGTTAGGACAGACCATCGTAGATTTTTAGCAATGTGTATCTGTGTGTCCTTCACAACTTTTCCTATTCTGCCTTTTTTTCATTTTCCTTTTTTAAAAAATATTATGTACTATATTTTTAGTCTCAAACACACTATATATTATATATATTTAATTTTTATATATAAATATAAATGTTCTAAAAAGTACCATGTTTTGTGTTATTAATGCATGAACAGCTCCGGATACTTCAAAGCTTGCCTGATTTGGGGTGAAACGGTCCAAATGTTGGGAAAAGATAGGAGATTTTTGGGTTGAGATCGCAGACATCGTATTTGTGTCACCTCCAGGCCATGGGCAAGCACATTTTATCCAGCAGTTTGTGACTTGCAGAACCCTGAAGCCAACTATGGCAGTTCAGGGACAAACAGCTCAAGCCTCCGTGCTTTGGGGACACAGCACCCAAAGGCTCTATGCCAAGTCTGATTATGGGATTGGAAAGGGGGAAACTGAACCAGGGATCGAGATTCCAAAGGATGTGCGAGTAGGGGTGGGACAGGATTGGGTTTGCTGATTAAAATGCAGTGGTTTGGTAAAAAGCAAAGTTACCATGTCTCAACCTTTGAACTTGTAGTGAAACAAAATGAAAAAAACAACAAAAAAATGGTGTACACACAGAAGCCATTCTACTGAGAAATTGGATTGGAAAGGGGGAAACTGAACCAGGGATCGAGATTCCAAAGGATGTGCGAGTAGGGGTGGGACAGGAGTGGGTTTGCTGATTAAAATGCAGTGGTTTGGTAAAAAGCAAAGTTACCAGGTCTCAACCTTTGAACTTGTAATGAAACAAAATGAAAAAAAAACACAAAAAAATGGTGTACACACAGAAGCCATTGTGCCGAGAAATCCCAAATTCTCCTATTTTGGTAGAGATTGTAAGGATTTCTCTTTGCTCATTTTACAGGATAATTTTTTTTACAAAGTTGTTTTCTTTGTTTGTTTTGTTAATCCTCACCTGAGGGTATTTTTCCGTTGATTTTTAGAGAGTGGAAGGGAGGGGGAGAGACAGAGAGAAACATCGATGTGGGTGAGACATATCGATTGGCCTCCTGCACACACCCCAGCCAGTGATCCAGATTCATGCCCTTGACCGGAATCGAACCTGGGACCCTTATAGGCCGATGCTCTATCCACTGAGCCAAACAGGCGAGGGCAGATAATGTTTTTGAAAGCTATAAATCACCAGAGAGATCCAAAGGGCTTGTTGTTTTTCTCATCCAGTTACCAACCAACCAAACTAGAGCTGTTCCACAGTAGCCTCTTTGCATACAGGACATGGGACATAGAGACAGAGAGGGATGAAAGCTGAAAAGATACTTCTGAGGTAATGCCACCCATTCCCAAGAAGGTTGGCATCCATAGCCCCGAGCTACTGCTGAGGGAGGGACAGGGAGCTGTGGGGCTGCAATTTGGAGGCCTGTGTCCAGGACCAAGAGCCTGTAGGTAGCCCAAGGCAAGTCCAACCTGTTGGGAAAGAGGCCCAGGTACAGGGGGAATCTTGAGGCTGTAGCCAGGTAAGTTGAACTGGCACAGGTAATAGATGGCATAGTAGTTGGAATCCAAAAGCAAACGGAATAGGGTAATGGGGGCGGGGGGCAAACAGGAGAATGCGCCAGTTTATGCAAACATGGAGGCCCAGGTGAATTCTGTCAGGCCAAGGAGTGTTAGCTAGGATGCTTCCTGTGCTGTGTCCTAGGCCAGTGATGGCGAACCTTTTGAGCTCGGCGTGTCAGCATTTTGAAAAACCCTAACTTAACTCTGGTGCCTTGTCACATATAGAAATTTTTTGATATTTGCAACCATAGTAAAACAAAGATGTATATTTTTGATATTTATTTTATATATTTAAATGCCATTTAACAAAGAAAAATCAACCAAAAAAATGAGTTCGCGTGTCACCTCTGACACGCGTGTCATAGGTTCGCCATCACTGTCTTAGGGTGTGTTTTATTCCTCGCTGCATCCCCAAGCCCAGGATAGGGCCAGCGGGCACCTTAGGACAAGTTTGTGAGCTCCGTAGGGCCCCACAGGAGGCTCCAAGGAACCAGGCCCCCTCTCTTCTCGAGGCACAAGACAGGCCACAGGAGCGCCCTCTCTTCCCGAGCCAGGAGCCCAAGCCCCTCCTTTATGTCATCCTAGACCAGTGGTTGGCAAACTGTGGCTCGCGAGCCACATGCGGCTCTTTGGCCCCTTGAGTGTGGCTCTTCCACAAAATACCGACTTCTGCGCATGGGCCATGAAGTTCCAATCGCACTGTACGTGCGCACCCGCACGTGGTATTTTGCAGAAGAGCCACACTCAAGGGACCAAAGAGCCGCATGTGGCTCGCGAGCCGCAGTTTGCCGACCACTGCCCTAGACTGAGCACAAGTAATGACACCAACAACCCCTTTGTCACCATTCTTTGCAGCTTTAAAAGCCACCCCCTGAGGAGTTAGTCTGCCCTAGGCACAAACATGCACCTGTCTGCACTTTTGCACCAAAGTGTGAAAGTTCAAGGTCCCCAAGAAACATGAATTCCCAAAGGATCCCTTCATTCTGCCTTCCCTTTCACCTCCCGACATTTCAACACAGTCGATGGAATTGTGCCTTGTTTGGAGTAACCCTTGCCCTTCCCTGCCCCTCTGTGCTTTTGGCCAAGCTCTTCCCTCAGCCTGGAATGCCCAGGCCCTTTCACCTTTTCATTTTCACATTTTACTCCCCTCACTCAAAGGCCATCCCCTTCCAGGAAACCTTGCCTAAGTCCCAGGACAGGTGGGCGGAATCCTGCTTACCTCACTTACACTTGTCTGATTGCATCACAGGGGTTTGTGTACAACACATTAGCATTAGCACTTTCTTCTTAAAATAAGGGCATTTAAAGGCGGAGAGCATGCGTCATTTATTTTAGTATCCTCATCGTCCAACAGAGTGGCATATAGCTGCTCCGTATGTGCTAGAGGAATGCAGGGATGGAGGGAGAGAGAAAAAAAGGGGGAGGAGGAGGAACAAACCCATAAATGCAATGCA